GATGATTAGTGATGTTTAGCACCTTTTCATGTACCTGTTGGGCATCTGTATGTCTTCTTTAGAAACTGTCTATTCAATTCCTCTGCTCCCCCCCATTTTTTTGGTGAGGAAGAGTGGCACTGAGCTAACATCTGTGCCAATCTTCCTCTATTTTGTACGTGGGATGCCACCACAGCATGGCTTGATGAGTGGTGCATAGGTCCATGCTCAGGATCTGAACCCGCAGACCCTGGGGCTGCCGAAGCAGAATGCATGAACTTAACTATCACACCGCCAGGCCAGCCCCCAAGCTCTGCCCATTTTTAGATCAGATTGTTTGGTTTTTCGCTATTGAGTTATATGAGTTCTTTACATATTTTGTATATTAACCTCTCATCAGATATATGATTTGCAAATATTTTCTCCCATTCCGTAGGTTGCCTTTTCATTTTGTTGACGGTTTCCTTTGCTGTACAGAAGCTTTTTAGTTTGATGTAGTCCCACTTGCTTATTTTTGCTTTTGGTGCCAAATCCAAAAAAATCATTGCTAAGGCCAATGTCAAGGCGATTATTCCCTACGTTTCCTACTATGAGCGGTATGGTTTTAGGCCTTACATTGAAGTCTTTAATTCATTTGAGTTGATTTTTGTGTATCAGGTAAGACAGGGATCCACCTTCATGCTTTTTGCATGTGGCCATCCAGTTTTCCCAACACCACGTATTGAAAAGACCGTCCTTTCCCCATTCTATATTCTTGGCTCCTTTGTCAAAAATTGACCATAAATGTGTAGGTTTATTTCTGAGCTCTCTATTCTGTTCCACTGATTTATGTAACTTTTTTTTAATGCCAGCACCATATTGTTTGATTACTACAGCTTTGTAATATAGTTTGAAATCACGAAGTGTTTTTATTTATTCTTTAATCTTGTGAATAACATGCCTTCTAAAAAAGTGGTGTTCATATTAATAGAAACATTTGCACAAATCAAATCAATTATAGAAAATAAATCAAGGAAGAATACAATACACTTTTAAAATGACGGTACCCGAGAGGACAGTATGTTACTTCTCCACAACAGTATTCACCAACAAGAACACCTGAGTATACTTCAAGTTGTTTTTGCTGATCCTTGGGTCAGGAATGGAATAAAAGCTAAGGCATCCTACTAATAATTCAAAATGAACTCCACGGAAAGTAAACCTTTACAGAGCACCCACGTTGGGTCAGCACTGTGTTAGGGGCCTAGGAAGACCCAATGAAATGTCCAATGTGGTACCCCCGCCCTCAGAAGCAAGGATTGAGAGGGACAAAAACTGTCAATTTAAAAAGTTCCAAGCCAAATCAGTCAGTACAGCACTGCAACATTAAAGCAAAAAGCAAAAACAATGACCGAAATAAGCCATCTGCATTTTGGTCACATGTGTGGCATGTAACACAGCATACATTTGCTGATAAATAGGCCCTGGCGTTTATCACATGTTTTTCCCCAAGTGTTCAAAGCCCTTTGCAAAATTAAAAAAAAAAATTCTCCTAAGAAATTGGGATAAGAACTCACACAGGATCCTAGTGGGGGTGATACGACCCATTAAAAATTGTAAAGCCCTAGGCAAAAGCACATTTACCCAGGCCGTGAGGACAGGCCCCGAGACGTGCTGTAGGAGAAGGCATGGGCACAACGGGCCAATTCTGGATTAACTGTTCCTGTCCTGCAAGGGTTCCCTGATGATCAAGGCTCCTCGCTGGTCCTTCAGGTAGCCGCTGTCTAGTGCATTTCATACGCTCCTCCCAGGAACCGGCTCTGCCCTCTATAGCTGCCCGCACACCACAGCACGAGCACACGTGGGCCAGCCCGGCTGCTGGCCCTGCAGGGCACCTCTACACCCGTGTGAAGCTGCCTGGAACACAGAGGCCACGTCTCCCACCCCTTCCACTCCTTGGATGCTCTTCCAGCACAGAGCCAAATCCGCAGACCCACGGCACACCTGCAGGAGCCGGGGTGTCCTGAGGACTCGCCAGCGACGGGCAAAGCCACATGGCCTGGCTAGAAGCGGGGCTGCCCAGGCCGCAACGTGTTTCCTTGGTCTTTAAAAACACACCTGCTCCCAGTCTAGACATTCCGCATGGACACGACTTGGTGACTTTAATTGCACAATACTGTCCTGGTGTCCAAGGGGCACAGTTCTGTCCCCGCAGCGGCCTCTGAGCCTGCGTCCCAGAGACTCCGCTACTTTACGTACAATTTCCTCCTTTATTTTATATATAGACAGACATGCATATATACATGCATACACACACACACACACACGTATTTTTTAAAGTCAAGTTTTAATTACATCATATCTGTTTGCTCCCAACTGCTTTCGACACCTCCCTTTTATTCCATTCAGGGAGTAAAAATATTGCACACCCTTTGGGCTATGTCTACTCAACAGCACAAATAAAAGTAACCCATAATTGAAATGTACCAATATCTGCAACCTATTTGGGGAGCAATGGATAGATACGTGATAGAGGAAACAAAGTAAAACGTTAGGAATCGTAGAATCTAGGTGGTGGGCATATTGGAGTTCACTGTACGGTTCTATCAACTTCTCTGTATATCTGTATATGAAAACTTTCCTAACATGTTGAAGAGAAAAAGAGGAGAGGAGAAAAGGAGGAAGGAGATGTTTTTTCTCTTAAAGCATCAGAAGGCTCTGTATGGACACCTGGCTCTGTGGACTCAACGCTGTAGACGCTTCCAGTGACCAGAATTTTCAGATTTTTATAGGGAGCATGAAAGTGCTATCAAAATAAAAATTGTTACATTACAATATAAGTGGAATTAATTTAATACGTTTTAGACCTCAGAATTTTAAAAAACAACAACAGAGAATAATGGTGCAACGTGCCTGGCCTGAGGCGTAGACGCGGGCGGCACGGCCCCCGGGGAAGGGCGGCTGGCGAGCCCCAGGCCCGGGCTGCGGGGCCTCCACGCCCCAGCTCTGCCGCTGCCGTGGCCATGGCCCAAACGCACACAAACGGCGTGGCTGTGTTCCAACAAGGCTTGTTTATGGATGCTGAATCTGAATCTCATGCAAACTTCACATGTCATGAAACGTTATTTTTCTTTTGGTCTTTTTTCCCAATCATTTAAAAATGTGAAAACCGTTCTTACGTGTGGGCTGTACAAAAAAGGCGGTGGCCTGGACTTGGCCTTGGAGCTGTAATTTGTGACCCCTGATGTAGACACAGGACTCTGGCCCCAGTGGGCACCAGTTATTAATGGCACATGTGTTTATCAACACGTGGAGATCAAAGGTGTCATTAATCCAAATTTGCAGATCAAAGGTGTCATTAATCCCAAACAGCACTAAAGCCTGTTTAGGAACGTGCTGTTAATGGCGATGGTGCCTCGAAAAAGAAAAACCAAGAGGCGGGCCTGAACACTCCGAATCACCCATAAGATCATGGAAAAGGTGCCCAGGGGCACACAGGAGAAAACTGCATAAATAGGAGAGTCCCTGGGCGTTCTCTGAACTGATATCCATCTCCCAGACACCCTTCTTCCTGCATTCCAGTATTCTCCAACATTCCTCGAACTCTCCTGCACGCCCTAGCAGGCAATAAGATACGAGTCTAACTTTCAGGCAACTAGCGTTTTAAACTATGTACCATATATGGACCCCGTGTGAAATTGGAGGGATCCACGTCTCTGCTAGGAGATCAACAGAAGTGGTGACTTTCTGCCTGGCTCCACGTCCCAGGTGGCCGCTGCAGCGAGCGTGCGCGGGTCTGAACCAGCGGGCTCTGCCCAGTGAGGGACTCGCCCCGGCCCCTCCCTCACACCACGCCTTCAGAGTCACCTTGTGACCCTTCACAAAGTCATACATGCTCAGTGAAGAAAACACAGGAAAGCCCAAAGAAAAGGTATCGGGCCAGCTTTCGAATATTGTTTCTTCTTTGAATAAGCAGACTGGAGGCTGGCGGCACCCGCAGTGAACCCCAGCTAGCTACTGGCAATGGGCACACAGGGGCACAGCCCTCCACTCAGAGGGCACCATCCACGACAGGGGTGCTCGAGAACAAGCCATGGTCCACGGCGAGGTGCCAACGAAAAGCACACTGAACAAAACTCACCGTGTGCATCACGAAAAGATCAGACCATTTTCTCCCTAAATAATGTTTTTGACAAAGGTCTCTCTGACTCCTCTCTCCTCCCTCCCCCACCTCTTCCCATAAAGGCGTTTCTCTCTCTCTGGCTCTCCTCCCTCCATCCCTCTCCCTTCTCCTTTGAGAGAGAGGGTTTGATGGATAGACACTTTAAAATACATCCATGCCTCTACTTGACTTTCCAAAGAGTAAGCATTTCTTAAATTCATCAGTCTCTATTTTTAAAAGGCCTGATGCTAATCCTTGGCTCACAGCTGCTCCATCTCCTTGGGGAAGGAAATTACTTAAAAACCTCCTTTGAAGCGGAGACCTGCATGAATATGGAGAGGTCACTGGTCTGGCCCCAAAGACCACCTTTGTTCCAGGGAGGCTGACCTTCCAAAGGGCCCCTTAGGGATTTCCCTGGATGTCTGTTCCCACCTGCCACAAGAAGGCTCCCCTCTGAGCATCCTTTTCATGTGGCACCACCCGAACCCAGTGGACATCAAGAGAAATCACCTCATTCAGTCTGTCCAAAACGTCAGATTTTAAAATTCCATATGAAGGTGAGGTTTAAAAATTAAATAACATGTTTATCTTTTTAAAGAGCCAAATTAATATTCCTCAAACAGGGGGAAATTATTCTGGAATTTCTGAAGAAGTACAGTGGATGAAAGAAGTTTTCATCCATTATTAACACTGCAATAGACAGCATGCAGCTGCATATTAACTTTCTCTTTCAATTTCAAAATGGGTCTGGAAAAGCAGACACATTATTCGATCCTCAGAGGGACCGAGATTATTAACATGCTTAATATAAATTGTACAAATGGAACAAACTCGAAATCAGCTTGCAAATTTAGGATCAAGCTACCCGAGGAAGGCCTACCTGCCTGGCTTGACGGCGCTAACATGCCAAGTCGCAAGAGCTCTCAGCCGCTGCCCGACCACTGAGCTGACAAGCGCGTGAAAGTGACAGTCTCCGCGCGCAGCTTCTCCCATTCCGGGAAATGCTACGTTGCCATGGCTAAGTTACGGTGAATGGAATGATGACAGAACACGAGAGAAACCATACCGGTTCTTGTTGGGAAAAAGAGGAGGGCAAGATTAGGCTGTGCTTTTTCATTCTAAATCCTGGGCCGGGAGGAGGGGTGAGGAAAGCTTAAAAAACACCAGCAGCCCAGGAGTAAGAAGTCCTGTACATTTGTGCATTTAACATGCACAGATCTCTAACAGTTCCCTTCGTCTTATGCTGCGGTGAGGAAGCAGAGGTTCTGAGAAGTTAGGGAGCCACCAGGTCCTCCCCCATACCAAGCACTCTCATGAAACCCAAATTTAAAAGGCTCAGAGGCAACAAGAAGGAGATTTACAGCAGGAGACCAGATCCAGTACAGCAGAGCAGGTCTGACCGCACTGAGGGCCCGGCGACCAGGATCTCTCCTCCGGGGTCCTCCTAGGCCAGCCTGAGCCCCTGGGGCGGGGGGCTGCTTTGCTCCAGGCAGCCTCGAGGTGTCAGGCGTCCCCACAGGAGAAACGAGGCTGCCGTCCGTGTGCTGTTAAAGCCTTGTCTCCTTCAGGGCAACCCGGGCCTTTCCTCCAGCTTTGCAGTCAAGAAAGGAAAACACTAATAACCAGGAAACAATGCCACGCACGGCCTCGCGCACACATGCACTCACTCCATCCCTTTTTCGTAAGCACCCACCACGTGTCAGGCCCTGTTCCAGACGCCTGGGATAAAACAGACAAAGATCTCTGCCCAAAGAGCCACAGAAACAATAACACCTCTCATTCTAAAAAGATGAGATAGTAAGGCATGTTAGAAGTACCTCAGAAAGCGCTAAGTGCTGAGGGAAAAGTAGGGAAAATGGGGTACAGTGTGGGGTGAGAGGTGATTTTTATAGGGCAGTAGAGTTCGCCTTCATTGAGAAAGTGCCATTTGTACAAACGCTGAAGAATATGGGGGTTAACGTGGCACTCTGGGGCAAGAAGGAACAGACGATGCATTCTAACAATAAGCTTAAATGGAGAAAGCGTCAACATATTGGGCACCTTGAAGTTCTCACAAGTCTGACTAATACAGGTAAGTGTTCAAGAATGGGTATGAGTCTTACATGATACATCAGTGTTAACGTCACCAGCACTCTCATGTACAAATGTGGTTTGATATATTAATGTCTGGAATTCAAACTACTTATGTACATGGTGTATGAAATAATGTGGGATGCATATGTGCAATGGGAACGCTTCTGAAATTTAACTTCCCATTTCAAAGTCACTAGACTAGAATGCAACAGTAAAGCAGGATTGAAGATTTCTGCATTCTTGTCGGCAAATGCTCACTTGCAGACAAGATCTTAGCCAAAAGATGCCTTCCTGGTCCTAGAGTTTTCTCCTGGTTTCATATCGTGCTTCAAAGGAGAAGTATTTTAAACACCACTCCCAAGAAAAGGAGGATGTGAAATAACCACAGAGGGAAGTCCCAATAATTCAGCTAGTAACAGCTCAAAAAGCAGCTTAGTGCTTGGAAATGGTCCAAGAAAAACATGAGGTTTGTGTTTGGATGTGTTCCTTAATTGAAGACAGCATCGCACGCACATCTGTATACGGTACTTTTATCGGCTTTCAGGATCTTCTGCCAGATCACCTTCCTTACGGGCCTGGATTCAGAAAGCACGAGAAGTTGCCCCAAAAGCTCCCCTAAGGGGGAGCAGGCTCTATGTGCAGTCTGCTAGCAGGCGCGCTGGGCCAGCCCAGGCCTGTCCTACAACAGCACAATCACCCTCGATGCCCGGGGAGCCACGATGGCAGCAGGGGCCTTTCCGCAGTCCTGAGCTGTCGTTTCTGGACCCGGCAGACGCAAAGAGCTCCTATGTGCTGGGGTTCTGAGAGGATGAGTTCAGTGTCAGAGACCCAGGAGGCCCATCTCCTCCAAAGCCCTCATCCCAAAAAGAGAAACCAGAGGGCAAGCAATGTGCCCAAGGACACACAATGCTTGAGAACACAGCGTCAAGGTCAAAAGCTCAGTTTCCCCAATGTCACTCTTGGGTTTTCTTCAGTCACTGGGAGCCCAACACCTAAAGAGGCAAAGGATGGCCCAACACGACACAACGTGCAATGATGTACGCCCACACCCACTCTGCTCACTGCAGCGTGAAGCTGGGTACCAGGCTTCACTCTCACGGAACGGCTATGGAATTGTTTCCCTGAGCTAAATACCTACCGACAGCTAACAGAGTCCTTGGCCCTCCACCCTTCAGGTGTCCACTTTCACAGCCTGCCCGGGATGGTGGGTTCAGCTGCTTCTTTCTGTCCCCTCCTCTTTGGCCCCACTGCCAAGAAGCTTCCTCTATTCTAATGGGAAGAAATTATGTCTAACTCTCCTCCAACTGTCTTTGAAGTAGAAAACAGCATATGGAGACGGTTTACTTTGGGTTCTGAGTTTTCAGAGAAATGCTTTTATAACATTTCTAATTGGCCTCAACATCAAAGAAGGCATGTCACTCACAAGACAGAGCACCAGAGAATAATTAAGGATGGCTAAGTGGAGAGACGTCAACTAGACCTGGGCACAGTGACACCATCACTACCACCATCATCTTAAAGGACCATTCAGTGCACAATTACACAGGCTGTCTTGGGTGATGCTGCCCCAAAAGCTTTGCCCTCAAAAAAGATACCAAACCTACTTGGTTACCAAAAGGATTCCCTGGAAAGCTTCTGACCCACTAGTAGATGGAAACAGTCAAAATACTAATAATATATTGGAAAACTCCAAATGTCCTTCAGTTGGTGAGTTGATAAACTGGCACATTCAGATAACAGACTACTACTGAGCAAAAAAAAAAGGGTTGAACTGCTATGCAACAACATGGATGAATCTCAAATGCACTATGCTAGCCAGGCTTAAAAGGTACACATGCTATGATTCCAGGGCACAGATTCCACGGCTGTGATTCCAGGAACAGAAAACTGATCGGTGGCTGCCAGATGCTGGGGGCGGGGCTAACTACAAGGGGCACAAGGGGACCGGGGGGTTATGCAACTACTGTACATCTCGCTGGCAGTAGTGGTTACATCGCAATATGTACTTGTTAAAACTCCTAGAACTGTACCATAAAAAGTGTAATGTTACTGTACGCAAATTATCCCTGAAAAAAAGGCCAAAAAAGTCTAGTAATAATCAGGAAAATAAGCAAAATCCAACAAAGAATTTAAATATTTACTGTTCCTAGGTAAACTTCACTTTCATATTGAAAAACAAACTTACATCTCTCTGCACAACTGTGGCTCAACTGACTGCTCACGTCCTTTAGAACAGACGGCTTCTCACCCACGCCCAGAGCAACCGGGACGGGCAAGGAGCTTCTCAAACCTTCAAGCACCCACTATGTGCCAGGCTCGGCGAGAGGAGCCGGGCCACCAGCAGAGAGGCCACAGTGCCAGGCCCTGCAAAGCTCACAGCGGGAGGAGGTAAGAACACGGAGGAGGTGGCCCAGAAGTCCCCAGAACAGACATGGCTGCTCTGACAAGAACTGCCTCGGGTTATTTCGGGAATGTGACATTGTGTCATTCACTAATTCAACTCATTTTTGAGCTAAGTACAGTGAAAAACAGAGATGCAGAAGTCCTGGAACTCACCCCCACGCGCAGAAAGACACGTTCTTCTACCCCATTGCTTCCACAGGGCCACCCACAGGCTGCCATGGGATAAAACGGGACCCTGGGGAGACCACAGGGTGCACCATTCACACTGTTCTGGATGTGAACGCACTGTGACTGGCGTCCCCAGAATTCCGTGAGGAGGTGGCTCTGGCAGGGAACCCACCCCAGCTTCACCTTCAGGCTTCCGAGGAAGATGCAAGTTCAAGGTGGCAAGACTGTGCTTCCCAGCCTTTCCCACCTCCCCCCATGGAACACTCAAAGCAAGGTCTGTGCTGCCTGCAGCCTGAGTTAACCAGCCTGGGGGCTCCGATGCCCCAGGGCCTACTCAGCTACCCTGAGGGTGAGGGGCGCACCTGGAATGCAGGGGTGCTCCCTGGCTCTCCACTCGAGGACAGATCCAGAAGGGTACTTGCCAGTGGGTCTAGAAACTCGGGAAACAGAGTTCTAATGTCAGGGTACCTCTGGCCTATTGGAGCCTCTGGGAGAATTAGAAATGAGTGCCCCATCTTCCAGGCAGAGGCCTCAGAGCATCAGCTAGATTTCAGCCCACCCTGCAGCCCTACCTCCTAGCCTCCTTTAGAGCCTTTGGCAAGGCACAAACTGCTCCGCCTACTGACGGACCTGCCTAAGAGACAGAAAGTTCTGTCCTATGGCTGTCCCCAGCCTATCCAACTCTCTTGGTGGCGACACCACAGATCATCCTTCAGCAAGTTCGCACAACGTACTGACTAGCACGTCTGTGATTTTATTTGAACAAGGCAAACATAAATACCTGGTTGCTCGCATTCTCCTAGACTGGAGCGTCATCAGTCTAGGTCAGGCTGCATTTCTGAAGCCCCCAACAACTCCCATGGACTGCTGTTTCCCTACAGCCACCCGATGCCAGAACCTCCCCGGCCGGGTCCAGCTGCTCCTCACACCACGTGCGATGACCAAGGGCAACCAAGGGGCTTACTGTCTGGACAAAGGACACTCGGAGTCACCCCTCACACCTTCCACCCCAGTGGCTTCCAGATGGATCACAGATTCAAACATAAGTAAGGAACCACGGAAGTATCAGAAGACACTGCTGAGAATATTTTTTAATAAACTCAAAGTGGGAAAGGACTTTCTAACGGTGACACAAACCCACAAAAGATGAAAAAAATCTGATAAATTTGACACTTCAAAAAACTATCCAATTGAGATGATGAAAAAGGTCTGGAGCTGGATAGTGGGATGGCTGCACAGCCAATGTGAAATGTACTTAATGCCACCGGGCTGTACACTGAAGAATGGTTAAAATGGTAAATTTCATTTTAGGTATATTTTACCACAATACAAAAAAAGTATACACAGGGTAAAAAACAGCAGAAACAAAAGTCAAAAGACAAACAACCACCTAGAGAAAAGATGTACAAATCCTGCCACAGACATAAAGGTATTTTTCATGTATAAAGAGCTCCTACAAAGTAGCATAGCCCTAGAAAGCCATTGGAAAATGAGCAAATAGAACGAACTGAGAGTTCACAGCAAAGACAAATAGTTCTTAAACACATGAAAAGATGCTCATGCTCATTCATATCTAAAAGTTAATGCAACTACAACCCAACAGCTGAGGGAGAGGGTAGAGAATCGACTGTCTCAGCTGTGGGCGTTCGGGTTGCAAAGGGACTTATCTTGCCAGAAGAGCAAGATGGCGGCACCCAGACTCTCAGAGGCCGACCCTCCAGCCAGCGGGTCCACTTCTAGGAATTTACCCTACAAACAATTTCAACATGTTATACAAAGGTATTCACTGCAGAATTATTTGTAATAAAAAAAATTAGAAGAGAACCCTAAAAGTTCATAGACAGGGAGAGAGTTAAATACATTATGATAAACTCACAGAACAGAAGGAAGCGTGTCTTTTTGTACAGTAACAGAATGACTCGCAGGTACGTTGTGAGGTGAAAAACAGAAGTGCAGAACAATGTGTCTCATATGACACCATTTCAGAAAAAACATGAAAATGTTTCTAAGTTCATTGACTTAAATACACACAGACTTCATCTGGAAGGATCCCCAAGAAGCTGAGGCGCTGGAGACTGGAAGACAGAAGAAGAGACGCGGCCGTCCTCTGCATATTCTTTGACTCCCATGTCATGTGAGGGAATTACCTCTTAGTTTTAGAAGACGGAAAGGGACAGAAGTCTCTCGTTCCCCGTAACTAGTCGTCCCTGTTGGGTACTGATGACTACTGGAAGTCACCACGCTGCTAGACAAGAAGGCCTTGCCTCTCTGGACCTCTTGTCTCCTAAGCCGCCTCCTCGCTGCTCACCGAGGACCTTGTCCTCATGGGGTACACACTGGAGCGCCATGAATTGGCTCCTGCTCCCTTTGAAACCTCACCCATCCATGCCACCAAACTTACTGAGTCTCTAACCACGCACTCAGCACCTTCCTTGGGGCCAGGGTTCAACAGTAAGACACAAAGCCTTTTCAGACCTTAACAGCGGAGTGGGGGAGGTGCCGAGTCCACCCGTGCCGGCTCACGGGAGCCCGCAGTTCATTCTGCAGGAACTGTGTGAGCTGCTTGTTGAACACATCGCTGTTAAGTAATACAGAATCAAACAATGGCCCGATCCCCACAATGGCACCAAAAGCTGAAAAGACAGCGCTCCTGCAATCAGCAGGGCTGAAGTTCAGAGATTCAGTTTAACGAAGATAATTTGTATAAGGATGAGAAACAGTCTAACAGAAGATCACACGTTAGAATTAATGACAATAAATTGATTGGGAAAAGAATTTGCAGACTGGGATGTGACTCCATTTGTTAAAACGTCATCAACCATAGGTCAGCCACAGCAAAAATCAACAAGTATATTCTGTGAGACAACTGACTACAAGGAATTTACAATAGAGTATGCATATTTTGTTATTATTTGTAAATCGTGTTATACATCCTTTATATCAGTAAAATTTATTTAAAAAAAGGTATGCATATGTATACACGTGTATATTACACATATACACGTACGCACGCATGTAAGCACATACACACACACATTTCAATCCACACTGAGCTGAACTCTGACATCTCAAGCCTAACTTCTCTAAGGTCTGGTTTCCCAATCTGTAAAGGAAGCATAAAAACCACTTCCCACCTGCCTCCCAAGGTCAAATAGAAACTACAAACTATAAAGTTGCAACCTAGCTGTTAGCAATATCCTGACTCTTCCCACCCCACAGTGGCTAATTTTTAAATGCCTGCTCCCCACAACTTTCCCCTGTCTTTTGGCTTTCAGGCAATCATCTTCTTGCCCTTAACCTCTTTACTATCGCAGAAAGAAGTGCAACACAAGGAACAAGACTACACAGCGTTGAAAACTGCTCTGTCCCTGTCCCTGTGCCCTCTGAGCAGGGCTCAGCTCTGCACGGGTCTTTGCACATCCCCACACCCAGCACTGCCTCCACTCGCTCCCTGAGCCGCGGAGGCTAACCGACACCTTGCTGGAATGCTGGCAAGGCTCCCAACCCTCAGCGGCAGAAGCCCATTTTCCCATCTTCCCGTTTACACTATTCCACTGGATCCCTCATTTCTTCTCTCTGGGTGCTACCCCAAGCACGTCCCATAGAACTAATTTTAAATCATAATTAAATCCTATCTTTTCAGAATGCATGACACACCTTTCTACACATACTAGAATCAATTAAAATTTACTGGGGAAGACATCAATTCTATATTAAGAGTTCCTGTTTCCTTTTTGAAGCCCCAATTTTCAAGCATCAAAGAGAGCAAATTTGACAGGATTGACCGACAGCAGGGAGACTGCCATTTGCAAAAAGGTTTAACATCAAGTCCCTGCAGTTTTCACTTTTCAACTGCAAATACTGCAGGGCAAACAGGTGTGTGGTAGAGTGCTCTGGCCCGGCTCTGGCCCGGCTCGGCTGTGCTGTGCAGCTCTCTGAGACCTGCCCACTGACACGGGCAGGTCAGGGTTGGGGCCACTGACTCGACTACCTGTCTCCCCTGCAGTAACTGAAATGGGGCAACCACACTTTATTCCCACTACACTCACCTCCCCCCATACTTTAAAATTTGAAAGCGTACATGACACTGAGAAATAGGTAACATGGTATAAAGTACCAGAAGATTTTGGGGAACTCATTGGTATGCTATCTACAATGGAAAGGACAGAGCCATTTTGTCCACATCCTACTCTACCCAGCTGGCAGTGTGACCCCGGGCCCCATTTTATTCCTTTATGGGGCTGTCACTTCTCAGGGTTTTTCCAAGGATGATACGCATCTTAAGGAACTTCTTAGTGATTATTGGTCCACCTTTAAAATTCAGAGGAACGATGGCTACAGTCCTTAATTTCAGAATTTTGTTATGACCAGTTAAGGGAATTGATACTCCAACAACAGATATTTCTGGAATACCTTCTCCTTGCAAGATGCTGGGAACAAAAGAATTATGACACCTTAAGGGGCTTACAATCTAGGGAAGATACACACACACACACATAGGGACAGCCAGCAATGCAACAGTGG